AAAAAATGCCCAGCCATCGCTGCAGCTGATCTCCTATATATGCTCCCTAATCACAGCATCTCTCAGACTCCTCGCAGGCGGCAGAAGGGAGGAGGAGGAGCTGGGGCACAGGCAAGCTCTTCACACTCAGCCTAAGGCCCACCCTGCAGAAAGGGCAGCTCCTCTCCCGCACCGAATGATCAGACTTGATTTGGCTGCTCAGCAGCTACAGCTGAGCAGACAGGGTTTGATTTGCCGTCCTCTGCAAGGAAGGACATTTGTCCCCAGCCTACAAACACAGGCACGCACAGAGGACACCTATTACAGGACACTGCTACACGGGTTGGGATTTGCGCTTCAGCCATCTGTGACCGGTGTGCTGGGCTTCCCTGCTTTTACACAGAGCGGATTTGCCAGGCTGCAGTGCACCACCACTGCACGCATCTAATTCGAGCGGCTGTGCTGGAGCCCACAGGGGACTTCAAACCTGGCAGCCACAGGAGCAGTCCAAGACAGTCCTAACTCAAACACCAGCTAAGAATGTTTACAGAGCAGATCAAGACAGAGGTTAGGAACTGATGCTCCTAAACCTCCTCCACATTATTCAAGTTCAACTTTTCAGTGTCCAGGGAAACTACTGTTGACACCTCAAATAAAACATACTGTAAAGCCCAAATCAGCAACCACTTTGGAACTGAAAGCCAGGACAAGAGGGCTGCCTGATAAAAAGCTGAGTTGAAAATGTAAAGAGAGAGGTTTTTTTCTGACAGAGATTGATACACAGAAGTAATTCCCTGCTCCTCCTGCAATCCATATAATCTCCTATAGGAACAACAACAAAGCAACTGGTAGACTGCAAATTTTTATCTGGTTTACAGATTTGGAAAGACGGAAAGCTGGGAGAGAATCCACGTCTTTATTCCACAGGCAAGAGCAAAGCCACGGTAAGGAGAAAGCAGCAAAGCAGTCTAACTTCCAAGACAGCTGCTTTTTACTTTTTTCATCAAGAGATATGGCTTAGAAGAGTTGAAAGATGCAGGTTTTTAGCAGTAAATGAAAATTAACAACAGATGTAATGCAGAGAGATTTCTCTCCCTGCACCTAAAAAACCTAAGTGAAAAATCCTACATGTGGTGGTAAGATCACTACATCCTCTTTGGTATAAACATCATCCTAAAAATTATCACAGGATAGAACTCTGCCTACCTCTTTCCAACACAGGACTATCTCTTGAAGCATACACTCGAGAGTGAAATCCTGCGTATTTCCCTATTGCTACTAAAGCTACTGCTTCTCTCCTGATCCCTTTTTTTGGTAACTGCGAGTGACTTTACTTTACTTGAAGTTCACTGCTGGCTAGGAACTGAAGCACTGCTGGCTATGCATTTACATGTTCAAAAAGTATTCTGGTGACACAACACAACTTCAAAAAATTAGTTATTACTTCCCTCTTCCCGTAGCCCTGGTAAAAACCAGTGCGTTCTATCCCATAGGAATTTCAGAGGACTGAAGTATTGTATTTCCCCCATGTGTAATAACCACTGCTCTTGCATGTCAGCTGAATCCTCACTAAGGTAAACTCTGTTTCCCCTCCCTTTCCACAATCATTTGGCCCCTGTTTTACAAAGTTCTTGGCATACTCTTCACTAAGCAGTCTTAACCATCACACAATATGAATATGAATAATACCAAATACTTCATTAAAGCTGAAATATGAATTTTAATCTAGACCAGCTCTTACTGACGTGATTCATTAAAAAAGAGATAGAACAGGCACCCAAAATCATAGACAGTATAGAAACAGAGACTCTGCTCTCAACATCTGACTTTGTATTTTACGGAGGGTAAAGCTTCCAATAGCAAAGTTGTTAGGACTGCCCTTCATAAATAACAGCACCACATTCATCCTCCTTGTTTTGAGAGAGAAGCGCCTTAACAGCACCATGCCTCTTCAACTCTTTCTTGCTTTAAGAAAACAGTTTGATAAACGTGTCAGATAACACAGAACCCTCAGAAACCAAACAATTCACCCTAAAGTGTTCCTCTTCCTCCTTTTCGGCTACATACAGAAAGCTGTTCAGCACTTCCCAGTTGGTTATCTAGTATTTCTTTATCAAGAGTCTTGAAAAATAAAGGTAACAAGAAGTACTATGGAAGGAGAGCAAGGCTTTATTATCCCTTTCCCTGTACGTAATCTAGGGAAACACTACAGCAGGCAAAACTTCAGTGAAGCAGCAATGGTCTAGACATATACACAGCAGCAGCAAGACGCTGGCTCTTGAAGTAGCAGTTACTACATGAGGTATCTATGCAGGTTCAAATTCTGCTAGAGAAGGTACAAAATGTTAAATGTAGCTAAGCTTAAGCTGGAGAGGGGCAGGCTGTCCCCACATGATGAAATATTCTGGTGCTGTGACCAAGCCTAGAATAAAATCAACAATGCAGGAGGCAGGGAGGGTCAGGAGGGTGGGTTAACCTGCACTACAGACATGTACGCAGTTGGGCATGCAGGAGAGTCCCGTCTGTCTCTATTGCTGGGCAGAGACGTGGCCTCCCGGGGGAGAAGTGCCAGCTCAGGGAAAGGAAGCATCAGGCAACATACATCCAGGATACTGCAGAATTAACGCCGTAATTCTCCTTCTGTGGGAGACAGCTTTCTAAAATGCCTTTGCCAGAGACTTTCATTTTCAGGTTGCCGAATCGAATCTCCTTAATCACTGATTTACAGCTGCAGTGTCTAAATAGCAAGCGTTTCTCCTTCAGTGCTTTAAAGACCTATTCCAAGGTGAATTCACTAAGTTACTATCAATATATTCAGTCCCTTTTTGTACTAACCACTTGAGCTATCAGCAAACACAGCTGGAATAACTGAGGAAACTATATATTCAGCTGAAGTCACCGTTCACTTTTCACTGTAAATGCACATTCTTTAGTCCTCAGATAAGACTTCAACGAAACCTGATCAGTCCCTTGTTTCTGATATTGTTCTGAACTAGCAGAAACATCCATTTCCTTTCTTGGCTCTCCCCACACTTGCCCTCTACCTAACCAATACCTTTGTAAGTCATTGCCAGCTGCCTCAAGTTACATAGCTGAGGACCAGGCTAGTATGCTCAATGCATCTTATTTATAGGAAGGTGTGAAATATAGAAAGTAAGTAGAAGATCAAAACATGGCCTGTATTCACCCATACTTACTCTTCCTACTTGCTGGGTCATAGAAGTGTCATCACCTTAATATGAGAAACAATTAGAATCTATATATCACTCCCTCTGTAACTCATTAGGTGCCTGAACACTTAAAAACTGACTCAATCAGTTCTTCTGTGACATATTCCACTAACACGTTTCTGAGTTTTATTTCAACTGAACTGATTCCAAAGTTTTCCCCATTTTCCTTATCTCTAGAGTTAACTTCAATACCATCTTCTTTGTAGGAAAACAGTTCCTAATTTGCAACTAGTTCATCAAGCTACTAGTGTCTCAGAAGATAGCTCTCCTGAGCTTTAGTCCTCGCTACAGGATGGACGGGGAACTCTGCGGAGCAAACACGGCATTAATGGCCGTCAGCAAAGCAAAGCCACCCTTCAAACCTCTCCCATATTAAGTTGAACTAATTTTGAACTCAAGAGATTGGATATCCCACCTACATCAGCAGGCACTGTCACCTGACTATGGAGGAACGCTAATTCTAACAGGATCTGCAGCCTTCAACTAAACAATCTAGGGCTCCACAGGCTGGTCCCCAACACGACCTCGCTCAGGAAACAACACATTATCGCATACACTTGCTTCCACAAGTCAGTAAAGAAAAAAACAGACCAACCTTCACAGCGTGGCACTCTCTACTCCTCACACTTCTCTCTATGCTAACTACAGTAAATGGAAATTTTTCACCATTCTTCAAGCTGTCTTCTGCTTTTATCATCACATTTCATATTCCAGCAGAAAGAATACATATTCTACTTTTCTCTTTTATAGGGATTAGGCAAAACATCCTTCTCTTCTAAGTCATTTATCAAGATCATTTGCTGCTTCCTCTTGCCTTTCCCTTTATTTCTCAGTCATCCTCCGTACTAAACCATCTATTCAACTAGCAAGACAGTCAAGGGCCTAATACATTAATTTTGTCAAATCTGAAGGGTATTCAAGGACTTTGATCTTGTCTTGTTCACCTCTTCTAGAAAGAGCCATCTCTGGCATCTCAACTTGTTGCACACTCTGCTTTCAGCATCTTTTACTGCAGTTTGGTTTCTCTCATTCTCTCCCTCATCCACTCCACCCTTAAAGCAAGTTTAATCCCTGTAAGGGATTCCCTACTCACTAGAAGACACACATTCCCTGAATACTACAAGGTACACTACCCTTTGTGCATCTCTGGAAAACAGAAGACCAACAGCTTGGGGGAAGAGTTTAGTCTTTTGAAAATTAAAAAGAAGTCTTCAGTCAGGTTTCAGGTGTTTAAGTCTCCAGGACTAACAAAAGCAACAAACACTTGTTCTGATTTGTCAAGAAGTCAAATTCACAAGATTTCTGCACTCAACCTACTTCTGCCTTTGAAAGTAAACTTGTAAGTTTCCAAACACACCACATTTAAGTACAGTATGAAAGGAGCAAGGCATACAGCATGTATCCTTAAAAAAGAATAATCACATCTGTTGGGGTAAGACAGATCTCCTAGGCAAAATCTGTCTGCAACACTTCTCTTTATTATGAGTGATCGGTACACACACACATCGATAAATCTCCCGTAAACATACCGGTAGCTAGGCTTGCAGAAGAAAGACCTCAAAAAGAAAAAAAGACAATGCCACAGAGTATCCATTTCCAGATACAGGAAATTTTCTATCATCCTGCAACACCTCCTTCAAACCTGCTCTTTGCCACGCAACTCAATTACTTTGTAACGCTGAAATGATGACTGAGACAAACTATTGCAGATCCCTTAAACTTATCACAGCTTCAACTCCAGCAAAGTATTTTCTTCGCATAAAAGGGAGAAGGGTAGATCGAGAGACTAACCTCTGGCTGACAGCTTTTTGGTGTTGATGATTTTTGCAGCATATTCCTGTGATGAACTTTTCTTTACACATCTGCGGACCACAGAGAAGGCTCCCCTAGAAAAAAAATAAAGAGGGTAGGAGCTCTGAAACTGAAAATGAGAATACAATTGCAGCAATTTCTAACCCCAGAGTGGACCGGATTAAGGACAGAAGACATGCAGAGGATGCAAACAATATATGAGAAACTGAAGAACAGCGCATAGCTGCCTGATCAACAAATATAACCTAGTCTATATGGTACTCAAGCCCCCTTCCAGACAGCACAGTAAGAATAGCACACCGTGCAGAAAGAGAGGACCCGGACAGGCACAGAAACGGAACGTGAAGGGATTGATGAACGGGAGACAATGCTGCAAACACTCGTCAGTAAGCCCATCTCCCAAAGACAGTATCCCCAGCAGTTACATCAGACAACCAGGACTCATTTCTCCCATGTTCAAGTGCTAGATTGGTCACAAAATCGCTGCAACATTTTGCAGAAGTTACTAGTTCTCTTACATCTCCCTACCCACCTACAAAATGCAGATAAGCATGTACCTATTAACGAAGTAAGTAGGAAGCTACAAGGCTTCGTATATTTTCTCAAGCTGGAATTATTGACATTATTACAACTATTCCAAAGAGCCACCTGGAGAATAGGTCTGAGAGAGAGGGAAGAAGGATTTCTGTGAGGAAAAAGAGATAATACAGCAGAGACCAAGGTGAAAAGATAGGGACTCAGAATCTACAGGACTACACAGTTGAGTGCTTAAAAGCGGTCCCTTCTGTTTAAAAAAAAAAAAAAAAAAAAACAAAAACAAACACAAAACCCACAGCAAAACAGGGTAGGAAAAGAATAACAAATGGCTTTACAGGAAAGATCTGAAAAGGACAAATAAGACAAAACCAGCAGAAAATTTCAAGTCCTTCAGACCAGGAGTGTGAACCTGAGTCTAAGGGCAAACGTACATATTTAAAGTGTAAGAAAGGGGAAGAGAAGCTACACAAGGGCCCCACAAGACAGTCAGCCCTACAGACAGCCTAAAATAGCTTGAATCCTCACGATACTGCAGAGTCCTGCCTTTTTCTCCCCTTCCTCAACCTCTACATACAAACCAATAAGCAGCAAGGTGAGCACCAGCACCGGGGCCCGGGCTCGGTGACACACAGCTGCAGCAGCGTGGGGAGGGACGGGGACACCGGACTGAAGAGATGCAGCAGAGCCCAGCAGTTGGTGCAGGGAGGGAGGGAGGGGGAGAGCAGCAGCACCCAGGAAAGCTGTGTCCCCATATCCTACCCCGGCCATCGCTACGCCACTTTCCTGTCCCATGGGGTGCCCCTGCAAAACCCCGTCCTAAGGTGCAGCACCAGGTCTGCCAATGCAGAGACAAGTGCGGAGAGAGGGAGGGAAGGAGAGAGGGAGGGAGAAGCGCGGTGCAGCAGCACCTGGTCCTTTCACAGGGACAAGGAAGTGGGGACTGAAGCATCGTAGAGTGGCGGTAACAGTGTTGTGTCCCAGCACAGAAACAGTTGAAGGGGACAGCAGTGTGCAGCAGGGAGACGGTGTGGGGAAGAGAACGCGGCAGTCTGGTGCTGAGGAGGGCAAGTGGGGAAGAGAGAAAGTCCCGGGGTGCAACAGGAGCGCACAGCCCGAGGCCGGCTGCGAGGACAA